AATTGGTAGGCAGTGAGCCGGGTCTTACCGATCCTCGCCTTTGTATATGGGTTTCACGATGCTCACTTTCCAATCAGAGGGCATCCGACCAGCCACAAGCAAGAGACAGAGAGGAGCAGCAATATTCTCGGCCACCATCTTAAGGAAAAGGAGTGTAATCCATTGGGGCCAAGCGTGAAAGTAACATTCAGTTCATGGACTAGTTTCGAGACTATATCTGTACTGTCGTAAGGCTGCACTCAACCGTAAGTTGGTGACTGCGATTTGTAAGCGAAGTTTTATACTGGGACTGCCAGAGGCACATAGCTCATACATTCAGCGGTGGTGTTTTAGCCACTTGGTTTTATATGGTATACCTCAAAGTAAAATAAAATAATTCCTGGGTTTGTTTCGTGCTGGAGAGCAGTATGGATATCCGTTTTCACCCACATTGCTTCCTGCTTACTGCAAGTATGACACGAATCGTTGTCATACAGTGTCCAACTAGAAGCTACTATGGTTGCAGTGGAAATAGCATGATCTCTGATCACCCAGAAAATACGCGTCTACCAAATGCTTGAAATATTTTGCTTTTGGTGCGCTGTCATCCGATTCAGATTGATTATACTAATCATTCATTACACACGTTGACAAAGTAACGATGGAGTGAACTGGATGCCCCTCCGATTTAAACAACTTACAACAGTGGTCCTGTGTCCGACTACTGACACAAAGCTCAAAAAACTCCTGTAACTCCTTTTCAAACTCACCCAGTATAATATGTCTATGTAAACCTGATTACTACAACAGCAGTTTTCAAAGGAGTATAAGCTCATCTACCAAAGTCAATGTGAGTAAAGCAAGGTTAGAATCATCGAGTTGTATTTCAAATCTACAGAGTAACCTTCCTTGTCTGTGCGCATTTGATCTTTGTGACGTTACCATCATTATTATACACGTCAGCTGCAGGGATAAGCGCCTCTGGTTTTGTGCCGCAACACAAAACAAAAGGAAAAAACATGTGACAGGACTAAGCAATTCGAACTTAAGTAATGAAGCATATGAGACCAGAAGAGAACTCTGTAGGTCTCCGGGGTCATGTTAGAAAGCGAGCTTATGGCATGGAGTATTCTATTGCCATCTACAACTTGTATCACGGTGCCTCCAGTTATGCTTTGCTTAAGCAAAGCAAACACTCCTAGGTCCTGCTTGCAAGTTGCGTTCCTAAGCATAAACCTCCAATGTTATATGCACCAAGTGGATTCGAATCGTCGTTTGTGAGGACACAAGGTTTAACTTAGTTGATTTGTATTTGCCAACCTACTAATCAGCGGTGCAATAAATCTACAGCTGCTACTACTCGGTCAACATGTTCAAGCTTGTACACCAGTTTTAGATCATCAGCACCTTTCAGGCAATGGGTATAAAACCGTGCTGGAAGCGCACAGATGAAGACGTTAAGGAGCTCAGGACCAAGGACAGAACATTAAGCATAAAGCAGGTGCAAGTTAGTAACATATACTGTTTGCATGTTCTGGTCAACTAAAAACTTGGCAAGCTATGATAGAAATCTCCCAGAGACGCTAATTCCTCGGAGTTTGAGAAGGAAACGTCTACAAAAGAGGTTGTCATATGCCCTACTGAAATCTACACAAAGTGATTCAGGCAATTTTACGCATCCATCGAGTTCATCTGCTTTTTTTCTGGCAGCAAGTATATTGAAGGTACACGAAACTACTTTCCGAAAACTACAATGAGCACATTAGAGGATTTACCACTTTATCAGGTGAAGGTGCATGGTTTGTTTAAGAATTCTTTTCCTAACTCTACACTTGCCAGTGTTAGGCAGATTGGTTGATAATTTGTAGTATCTCAACAATCTTCTCTCTCGTATATAAGCCTCGTGGTACCCAACTTTTAAGTGCATTTTGCACTAATGTTATGAAATTTGTTATCAGTCTCGCTGTAAAACAAAGCATGTATTCCATAGCCAGATTTTCGGCTTCTTTTCTTACACACAAAAGGTTGTTTGGGGTGAATCATGCATATTCATCGCCAAACGGAGCTCGTATTTTTGTCGTTTCTTGCACTTTGTTCTAGTGTGTAGGCTTTTAACCGCGTTATTTTTCGTTAGTTTAGAGCTGGTTGCAAAGCTTATACCCACCCCATAATCTGTGCCGCTTTTCATAAGGCTTCTGAACTCACCATTGCTATAAGTAGGGCATCTGCAAAGAGATTTTTGTTATAGGCATGTACTATCTAATTGATCAGTTACCTCTAATGAATATGAAAGGCCCCAAGCATTTTTGTGTTCTAATTGCTGCGGAATACCCAACTCCAGACTATCTGCCGACTGTGTGGGTCCGTACGCCAAAACCATACACTCGGTATGTACTCTGATCATGAATGGTGAGACTTGTTCACTCAAAAGAAACTGTAAAATGGTCACTTTTACCATTCGGTTAAAAGACAGTCAGATATGAAGCAAATTAGTGCGCCCGGTGAGAGCATAAGTTCCAAAATATGTGGCTTCTGGCACGGATATATTTTAGTAGGTGCTGCGACATGCTGATGACGATGAGAAGAGAGAACAATTTCGAAAAACACTAAAAGAATCTACACGGATGACACTGGAGCAAATACCAATCAACAGAAGTAACATTGCAGTTACACCTTATTAGACAGTCCCTGTCTCTACCGTGCTTCTTTAGAGAATCTAACAATGAACAATGAATTTATACGGGTTAAGATGCGTTGCTTTACAAGTCCCGTTGGATAGTTGCAGGGGATATCAACGTAACATTAATGGTGCTAAAGATAGCAAAATAGTTATTACTTTAAAAATGAAAATAAGAACTTGTCTTTTGCTTCGCTGCAATCCTGCGATCCTCTTAGATTCGCAGCATCCACAGTTAACAACAAATAATTCCATGGTAAACTCCAGGTGTAGAATGGAGACGTAGTGTTAAGTAACAAAATGTAAGTGGATGAGTGCATCGTCCAACCGCCTTTTAAATACTGTAAGTGTCGGTGCAGAGACGACCGATTCTGGGAGAGCATTCCACGGGTGACAGACAAGAATGGAAAAGAAATTTCTGCGGCACTCCAGACGACTGTATTGTTCTGCGAGTTTTAATGAGTGGCCCCTCAGGTTTGTATTGCTGTTGAGTTGCAGTAAGCTACAGCTCCCAAAAATGGCTCTGTGAATGACTGCCGTCATGAGAGACCTGTGCTGGTCATAAACCTGAGAATAAAAAGCTTAGTAGCTCTGACGGCGCAGTACAATATTCATGGCCATATTTAGTAACATCACAAAGTTTATTTTCTTATTTTCGTTGCTTTTATGCGAGTGGCCGTAAACAGCTCAAATAGAACGGCTATTCGTTCACCAGCGCCAATAGTGGTGTTCTCCGTATCCGTTTGCACAAACCAACCTTAATAGCCAAAACAAAATAATCTTAAAATCAAAAAATAAACCTATTTCATAACGCAAAATCTATAAGTTACAACGTTGGGTAGGCAAAATTAGTTTTTTGGATGGTCTACGATCGTTTAATGGTTAATTTTAAGAGGAGTCCAGACTGAGGTTGCCAAAGACAAATTGATGTAAAAAAGCTTTTGTTATTAGGCAAAATGATTTATTGTTTTCTAGTCTATAAAAAGCAACAGTGATGTGTTGGTGGCAAGTTGAGCGATAAAACGCAGCGGAAGTTGCAGCTATGCAATCGACACCACCCGCTTAACACAAGTGACTATTTTTTCTACATTGAAACGGTTGTTGTTTCGATCTGATTTGTTAAGACCTTTAAATTAAAACCGTTCCACTGACAACGTTGTGGGTCATTTTGGAGTACACGTTGTGTGGATGGATTGCGACGCGCAATCTCAATGTTGACCGCGATTCCCATTGAAGTGAACCTTGGTCTTTCGATCACGAGGACCGTCGCTGATGTAAATAGAAATTGGGTGCTGCCCGCCCGAAAACGCGTCATAGTATCGCAGTGTTTTCGGGCGAGCAACACCCAATTTCTATTTGTTCCACTGGCACGTTAAAAAATGTGGTATCACGCAGTATCACAATTTCCAGCGCTGCTTTAACATACCACATGATTTTCTTGTTAGTTTTCTCAGATACTCAGTATGAAAGCATAAGGCTACACTACAAGCTTTTGTGTGACGAAAAATCCGTCGCAAATTCGTCTCAGTGGGACGACTATGGATACAAAACTCAGTTACTCAGCAGTAGCTTGTCAATCATTTTTGCTGACTGGGCGTGGATTTTGTTAACAATTAACGATTATAAGTAAGGACCGGTTGTTTTAAAGATACATTAGAATAATTAATTTTACGTTTTGTTGCATTACGTCATGGCCATTCCTATTTTATTTTACGCCCTGCGAAAACTGCAAATTTGCTCAAATGGGACAAATAGTCGTCCATCTAAGCAGACAGAACAGCCGTGGCACCTAGCAAAACGCTTTACTAGATTCAAAGATTCCTCCCCAATCCTCTACGTGTACTACAAGAGGTGCTTTTAGAATTTTGAACAAATCAGTCAGGCAAACCGGGAGAATCTTCAGAGCGTCACAAATTTCCTATAGGCTGGAATGCCACAAAATTTCGCACACAAGCACAAGTTTGAACCGGTGGCCTGAAAATCCCTTGCTTTAGGGCGGTGTATTGGCAATATACTAATATGGCTAGGAGTCGACCTCAATAGCGTTTGTGTTGTGGGTCTCTTTGTCCCTCTCCTCCCCTTTAGCTTCCCTATCCAACAGCGATTTCAACCCTTTATCCTTGTGTTACATCTTTAGCTTTGGTAGTCTTTAATGATTAATCTTTTATCCGTTTTGTAATATGACACATTTGCTGAGAAGTGTTTCTTACCCTCGACTTATGTGTATTGATGATGATGCAACGTTTTTACACGCTTGTCCTGCTGTGCAATTTTAAAAGCTGACTCACTGCGTTGGCAAGTAGTCACTAGGCTGCAGAAAGATTTCCAAACTCTCAAATTACAGATACCTCCTGCAGTCTAGCATAATTTGGCAGTTTGACCCACTGGTTAATAAAGGCTCTGCGTTTATATAACGCCTGGTTGGAACGGCTATATTTTACAGAAGCACGCAAAACTTATACAAGATTGCGATGTGATGAAGTACTCCTGCGGATGATAAATTTATGCTTAAAGGACAATGGGCTAATTTCTACTAATCTCAAGAGTCAAAAGAAAATTACGTCAGTGAGTAACCGAAAAACTAGTCTATTTATATAGCAAATCTGTTTGACTGTTTGTGAAGTGAGACTATTTGAACATTTAGTGGTGGCTTGTAGTTCTCACACTTTGAGCTTTTATCTCACCCTTTCAGTTTTCTTGAAAACCAAGTGTCGAATAATCATAACGATACAATTTTCGGACTAAAGTAACCGAAGTCTTTATTCCCAATAATAATAGTTATTTTTGATTTAATGCTTAGTTAAAAAGACAAACACACTCAAAGCACCCTTTCTGAGATGGAAGTCTCTACCTCTATTCTTACTACCTTCTTCTGTTTACTAACATGTATTTGTTCCTTTCGTCTTCGACATATCTTCGATAGCATGTGTAGCACAATTAGACTTGCATTTCTAAAAGTTATTATTCAATAATCTAAACAAGTGGCTATGAAGATAGATGTATTCTAACGTATTAAAATGCAATTAATTTCTAACCCTCTGCAGGGCAAATTTGTTAATATTTTTCATTCTTATCAGGCTTTTTAAGAAACGATGTAGGTAAATTTAATTCTTTAGTATTTAATTTGAAAGTAGGTACTGAGCTACTTTCCATTTCGTGGAAGGCGCCCAAAATTTGCTTGTCTCTAGTTGCATGCTGTGATGTGTTAATATTTTATAACAACGCATTCCAGATAACTATCCGCTTCTTCCTCGTGTCTACTTCTGAGCACTCTGATAGTATTCCAGCTTACATCTTACTTTGACTAGTGAAATGAATTTGTTGACGTTTCAGTAGTTCACAATGTTTAACTTTGATATGTAAGGAGGGTACGGTTTTTCGAGCGCAAATCAGCGGAGCATGTGAATCGTGTTCAGTCAACCAGCTGCCCCAAAAACCAGAGCAAGCTGATCCCAGGGTCAACCCAACTGACGCTTAACGCCCTGCAAAGATATCAATCGACAGACCAGTTTTTGTTTTTAAATCAGCACCCTTGATTTGCTGGGCATTCGTCTATTGCAGGCTGTACAGCGTGAATTATTCACGCGCGTTTAGTTCACCTTCTGTTCTCAAAATAAACACTGGTTTTACGCGTACTCGTCCTGATCACACTTCATTGTTGGGGATTGGTCTACTGTCTAACCTAGTAGTGTTCGAGACAACAGTAATGGGAAAAAAGAGCTACTGCAGCTAACTGTCTAACTGTTCCTACATTTTTGCTTCGCATATCATATAACTCAGGGAAACGTCTGTTCCGGGTCATCTTTAGACCAACGTTAGACGTGATGCCTATTGGTGTGCGTTGCATAGCCTAAACTATGACTAGCATAGAATTGTTGAAGTAACTGAGATCAGCTTCCCTTCTTGCTATTGGTCGCATACATTCGGAGATGCCGATGCACCACTCACGGGTCAAGCTGGTGTAGGCAACATTCTAAGCTCCAAAGCTGAGCCATCGTTAGTTGATTGGATTCCGGTGAACAGCCGTTTATGCGCAGCCCGTTTGACGACATCAGCTCACAATGATTCACAAAGTAGTACAAAACGCTGTTTGCTTGTGATTTCCGCTTATGCTCCCACCGACTTCAGTTCAAAATGCTGTCAAGGACACATTCTATGGCGAAGTGAATGCGCTACTATGCAGTGCTGACAGTTCAGTAATTATACCACTTGCAGGATATCTGAATGCACAAGTATGTCGCCTGGGCTCTTCAGAAGCTTAGCTGGGTGGTAATTACTGGCTTAACTCCTAACGGTCTGACAAAGGTGAGCGTTTGCTCCAACTTTGTGCAGAACACCAGTTGTTTCTTAGTAGCATTGCTTTTAGGCACAGTGGGCGCCGAAATGCCACTGGGTGTTCGCTGGTAGCTAGGCAGCGACGGACGCAAATCGACCACATAGCCATAAGTTACAGGTGGCTTGTTTCCATCCTGGATTGCTGCTCGCACTTCAATACATGTCTCGACGCTGATCATGCTTAAGTACGCTATCGTTTCTCCACGAACCTTACAGGGAGGAGCACCAAGTGTCCATCCAGATTGGCAACTGAGAAATTGTCTCAGCTCTCGGTCAGTAAAACCTATCAAGACTCATTGAATGCCGAACTTTCGCTCCGTTATCCTATGACACTGAGTTTCAGTGGGATAGGTTCTGGGCCGCCATGCACGATGCAGGATCATCTGCTTGTGACCCTGTCAGTCGTCACCGCACCAGTCACTGAATATCTGAGATGTTTATGAATCTGCTGGAATCCAGAATATAGCTCTCGGCTGGCTCTGAGCACAATATGACTGACTATTAGGCGCGAACTAAAGCGGAGCCTACATGCTGACAAGAGAGCCTGGTGAACCAGCCGGGCTCAAGAAATGGATGAGGCATGAGCAGTAGGCAATTATCGCAACCTCTTCCAGCTGATCCGCACCAGTATTCCCAAGAAATCGGGCATCAGTGAGAGAATCAGATATAGTGCTGGTGCACTGATACACAATAAGGAGCGCCGTATGGCTCGTTGGACGAAACATTTTCAAGAACAGTTCAGCTGGCTCCCTGCTCTCGGACCTCTTCGTACTCAGGTAATGCAGATTGGCCCATGAACGGTTACTTTATACCCTCCGTCGGAGGCCGTTGTCCGAAACGAGATGGTAGCCCTCAATCGTTTTCGGGCCACTGTCCTGGATTACTTCCCAGCAGCGCTACTTAAGGATGGAGGTGAGGTCCTCTGCACAGCACTGACCTTGTTCGAACATATATAGAAGGAGGAAAGCGGCCCGGCTTACTAGCGTGCATGGATCATGGTGGCAACATGGAAGATTGATAGTCGCACAGACCGTTCTAATCATAGGGGACTAGCCTAGCCTAAGCGTCGACTCTCGTTCGTCACCTCACTGTGGGTGGGGAAACCCTCATGACGAAGATCAGGCAGCTTTGCGCCCAGGAGGTAGATGTATGGGCCATATTTCCACTCTGCGGCAGTTGCTATAGCCGCGCCACGCATTCTGCAGACCAACAATAGCTGTGTTCCTCGATTTCAAGAGTTCTTTGGTTTATTTGTTCATTGGTTTGTAGAAAGCAAAAAGAAAATCCTTCGTCAGCCCCATCACTTCCCGCTCACTGCAGAGAGCATGTGAGTTGCTTCGGCACAGGTTCGAAAGGAAGCATTTCGGTCACAGTCAACACAGCAAGATCATGCTTGTCTAGCAAATATTTGTCTAGCAATCGCTTGAAACATTCCACTGTTTGTGCACTTACAAGTAGCTCAAGTAAACTGTTCCTGTCATTCGCCACACGAGTTGACAAAGTAAGGTCATTACGAACCCGAAGCCACTTTGATTTACACCGTTTCATACCATAGTCTCATGTCAGACTATGCGCACAAAGCCGAAAGAATGTTTGCACCTCAATTCCTATCTCATCCCGGAAATGATACTCCAGGGAGAACAATTCATCCTTTGAAAGTGATGAGAATAAGACAGGTTCCGGAGTGTCGTTACGGATTTCGATCCCCGTCGCTGAACCTCCTCTATCAGTACGCATGCGGCTTTTGTAAGAGGATAGGACGCTGGCAATCCGTACTCAAGAAATGCTTGAACATGTAAGATAAGCATAAGTCGAAATATATCTGGAGCCCTCTTGGGGTTGGATCACCTTATAGAAAAGAACTTCCTATTAGCAGCAGCAAATTTCTTTAGGGTGTCCTGAGTCGTGTGTAGGTTTGGTGAGACAAGAGCTCCAAGGTTACATTAATGAGCAGGAAGCCCCCAGTGTGATAAACACCAAAAGGCTCCGGGGAACCAACTGAACGGACAGAACACTTAGCATGGTTAATTGGTACTCGCAGCTCCACTGACCAGCAGTGCAACTGGTCCAGTGTTATTGTATAGATACTTCGCACTTAGACATAGGCAGACAGCCACCACACATTAAGGAAAGCGCTAGACGGCCGTTTCGTTTTATCTTGACTCGTCAGTAGCTCCCACCCGCGGAATCTTGCCGGATTCGAACTCCTGAACTTACTCTTGTGAGTCAGCAACTCATGTCACTGAGCCATGGGAGACGACAGCAGACCGCCATGACTGATGATACCTAACTGCAATATAGCGTGACTCATCCTCCACTGTCTTGTGTTATGAATGCACAGAGGACAGGGCTGGCCCCAGAGCAACGACTTCCTTTGCAAGCCGCCACCAATCGAGGTGGCATGTAAGCTGCTAAGGCGACCACTTATTATATGTAAGTAGTAGGAGCAGTTATTAGGTTTTTGTATAGATTCGTCGCAGTTAGACCTAGGCAGACAGCCACCACACATCCAGGAAAGCGCTAGACGGAAGTTTCGTCCTATTGGGACTTGTACGTAGCGCGCACCCGCCGAATCTTGCCGGATTCGAACACCTGACCTTACTCTTGCGAGTAACTGTATGTCACTGAGTGCCATAAGTCGCTGACTTGAAAGAGTAAGTTCAGGGGTCCAAATCCGGCAGGATTCGGCGGGTGCGTGCTATTGAGGAGTCCTATTAGGACGAAACGGCCGTCTGGCGCTTTCTTGGAGGTGCGGTGGCTCTCTGTCTATGTCTAACTGCAACGAATCTATACAAATACCTAATAAGTCCCCCGCTACTTACAAATGGTCCAGTATTGTTTGTATCCGGTCAGCATCATCAAGTTCGGACACCTCTAGCCATAGTCTCAGATCCTCAGCATATATAAGGCAATCAGTTTGGGGTTCCCATTTATGATTATTGATGTAATGATTAATGAGCTCAAGACCAAGTACGGATCCCTGTGGGATCCCGCTGGTCATACAGCAGGAGTGCAGTATGTACCGTTCACTTTAACTTGCACGCTTCGGCCATTCAAAAGGTCAGCAACCAAGGAGAGATTCTTACCAGAAAAGCTAATTTCCCGGAGTTTGAAGAGCACGCTTCCAAGAGGAATTTTGTCAACTGCCATGCTGAAGCCGACAGAAAAGCATCTAGGCGATTACTGTCATCTAGCAACCTCTACCATGTTTCTCTAGCAACAAGTAAGTT